AATTGTGAGCTGCTGAATTTCGTTATTTCAAATCTCACTTGCAAGGAGGCTTGACACCAGCTGGGACTACGTATTGTGGAGCTGAGCGTGATGAGAATGGCCACAGCACCCTGTAGGGTTGGTCCCCCTCTCTGGGGAGCCCTGGGTAGGTCAGCTAATTGGGGGTGGGAAGCTGCAGGCCTAGCTCCTCCCCAGCCCAGTGGGGCAGAGAGAAGCCCCAGCGGCGTATCAGCAGTCTCCAAGCTGATTCTCCACTCGTGGTGACTGTTGTTCTTTAACCTCCACTTCTGGGCTTTGTCTTTCTCTCTTCTCTGTGTTTCCAACCAAGGCCCAGCCAGCCCCGCTGTAACCAGGGGTTGAGTTTGTTTCACACTTTGTGCCAATGGTTTGTAAAAAGATGTGATATGTTTCTTCCAAATGCACAACCAGAGACAATTCCTCCATGAGCTTCCAGAACACATTTCCCATGAAGCATGAAAATCCCAGGAGCTGAGGAATGAAGAATTCAACCACAGACGGACACACGCCAGGCGAGCATTTCTAAAGAATGTTAGCATCACACGCAGCCCTCCACGTCATCACGGCTGTTACTGCTGTAATTATTCCCACCCCACTTTACACTTACACGCATGGTCCCAGGCCACGCTCCCCTCGTTTTCTGGGCACATAAAACCAATGAAAAGCCAGGGGAGGCTGAGCTGATGGCCCTGGAGAGAGATGAGCTGCAAATTGCCACTCTCCTCAATTTATGCCAAATAAATAAACAGAACCTCACACCCATATGCAGGGATGTGGCCCACAGAAAATCTCAGAAACTGTCACCTGCTCCCTGGATCCCTCGTCTTTTCACTCCCCCATCTCTTGCACCCCCACATGGAAATCCCATTGACAAGAGTGCGAGTGGAGTCGGCTGGGATGGGACGAGAAGCACGGAGTTAGTGCAGGCAGAGAATCAGGCTCACTAGGTAAAACCGTCCTGCACCCCCTCATCAAAAGAAGCCATTAGGGAGAAAACAAGGAGCTTGTTTTAAAGCAGAGGAGTTGGAATCCCAGGGATGAAAGAAGCGCAAGTGAACACATCTATTAATTGGCTCCTGTCCCTTCACACACCCCTGCTCTGTCAGCTTACACACTATGGAGTTCCTGATTCTGTAGGTGCATAAAGTGTTCTCCTTTTGTTCATTGGAAGAAAACCATTTTTGTTGGCTCTACTCAAACGGTAGCTACGATGTCTCTGAGAAGACCGCACTGCTCGTCCTCCTGCTAAGTTATTTGATCCAGAACGCAGACATTGGAAAATTCAAAGAGCTGAAAATTTCCATTACAACACCCGGACAGAAAGCCACGAGGTCTCCTCGACCCAGCACACACCCTTTACTTCTAGCCCGTCTCTAACATTGGCCAGCAGATTCCCAAAAGCCACCATGAGAAATGACGGCCTCCATACAAGCCCACGGGTCCCTACCAGCGACACTACCAGAACTGTCATGTGCTATTAGGAAGTTTCTTTTCAAGCTCATGTGTGGTTTACCCAGGAAAAGAAGCATATCCTTCCCTTTGCGCTCACATGTCAGTGAGTTGAGTAAATCAGAAACAGCTTCTCTCCAGACAGCCCCTGAGTCTGTAGCTGGCCCCTACAAAAATCTTTATGGATGATGATAATAACGGTTATGATGGTGAGTGGCCGGTCGCTCCAGGCTATCATAATAATACCGGTCTCCACAACTTCTCTTCATGAGACTTCAAGATTTTCCTGTTTCATAGTTTTTCTGGATCTCTCCATCTCGCCTAAGAAGAAACTTCCAAACAACAAAGGCAGTTGTTGATGTAGATAAGATGGATTCATCTGGCTGGGGCACCTACTCTATATACTCCTTAAGTCAGTATTTTCTAAGAGACAGTCAATCCTTCATAGCAAAATTAAGTTAACAGGATCATGTCCGGTTAGTTAAAAATACTGGCCCCAGAATCTGTCTGATCTGTTAAGCCACAAGACTCTACATTGGCTTCTTTCAAATGCTCCAATTCTGTGACTCTATGCTGCATCCCATCAGCTTGGAAAAGGTGTACCTTCCTTCTCAAATGAAAAGCCCACGTAAGGATGATGGGTTTTTGCAGTTGATAATTATGGCAGGGACCAGTCTGATGCCTCACCTCCCTAGGGGGCAAGAAAGGAAGCTGACCAGTCAAAACTTGCACCTACACACCCCAAACTGCCCTCAGCCAGGGAGGTGCCTCCCTGCACCTCAAAATAAATTAGATTAATCCCAAGGGTCACTTCTTGAGGATCGCCCAGATAATAAGGATGTATTGGGGTGGTCACACCCCCACAACACAACTGCTCACCATTGAGTATCCCTGGCTGAAGGCGCCTGTGTAGCATTCTCACCGCAAGAGACAAAGGTCATGTTATTAACTGGCCATGTTTCTTTCTATCTCTGAACCTCGCTGGTACATTTCCTCCTGCCCTCTTCATGCAACATTTCCTCCTTATATGCCTAAGCATTCCTCTTACACAAAGCCTTCATTGTTTCTGAAATTGATGGAGATACCCAAGTTTTCCCATGGTCACCTCAGCACAAAAAAATCAGAGTCTGTTCTTGACCTGACCTCTGTAACCTCAGTGGGAACATAGGAATTTGGGATGATGGGTCCTCCCCAGAGAAGCCCCTAAATTGCAGTATGTTGAAGACCATCCCCATATCCAATTTCCCCAACAGTGTCATAAAATCAGATTGCCATAACTTTGAAAAGTCTTTCAAGGACCTATCCAATTGACCAGAGTGCTGTATTAGTGGGTAAAAGTCACACATTCATTCCCTCTCTGCATCTCTTCCTGGTTAAAAAGCAAGCCAGAGTACACAGGCAGGATAACATACCAGAAATGATAAAATCTGCATTCTTGGCTTAGCTCTATCAGCCTATCATAACGTGGAGTTTCTAGTTTTAGACTAGGAAAGAGAAGTAGGAGGAAAAATAACTTCCTTGGCTCTCTGGAAGGAAACCATCTTTCATTGGTGCAGACCCAAAGGCAGCCATACAGGTGTATGACATTGTCTCTTACTAGCTGCATCACCAGGGAAACTTTCTGAGTTTTTGTTTCCTCCACTGCAAAGCAAGAATAACAAGAATAGCCTGCCTATCCCAGCCAGGTGGTAGCTTAAGGGCAGTTAGGAAGGTGCAGGCAGGAGAGCACAAGACATATTCGAGAGATCGGTTTTGTTAGATGGAATTTGGCAACAATCGAAATCTCTCCCCCTTCTCCATGGGGACGAGCCATGGGGTTGGCAATAGCCGCCGGAACCTTAGGGTTAGAAGGTGCTATGGTTTTTTGGTCCTGCCAAGTCTAATGTTGACATTGGATCCCCAGTATTGGAGGCAGGACCTGTGGGAGATGTTTGGGTCATGGGGGCAGATCCCTCATGGAAGGCTCGATGCCATTCTCTCGGCAGTGAGTGAGTTCTCACTCTTCGTTCCTATGAGAACTGGTATTGAAAAGAGCCTGGGCCTCCTCCCCCCTCTCTTGTCTCCTTGCTCTGGCCACGTGACGCCAGCTCCCTTCACCTTCCACCATGCATGGAAGCTTCCCGAGGCCCTCGCCAGAAGCAGATGCTGGTGCCAAGCCTCTTGTGCAGCCCACAGAACGGTGAGCCAAATAAACCTCTTTTCTTTACAAATGACCCAAACTCAGGTATTCCTCTATGGCAACACAAATGGACCAAGGCTGACGGGGAATGGAGGAGAGCCTAAATAACTCCCTAGAATAGCAGGTGCTTGCATAGACTGGACAGGATGTGATATGTGTATAAGAGGGAACAGTCACTCACTAAGTAGATTCATTGGGACAGGCAGTTTGAAGGCCTGCAGGAGACTGAAATATTTCCAATAAAAGTGACAAGCAGGAAGCATAATAAGGTGCTTACTACTGTCCGGCCACTGCTGTAAGGGTTTTATGGGTATTAACTCAGTTCATCCCTGCAACAGCCCTATAAGGTAGGTGTATTATCATCCCTTCCCCCAAATCAGCCGACAAGCGGTTGAGTGAGGATTCAACCTTCGACCCCAGACAATCAAATAGCAGAGTCCATATTCTCAAGCACTACAGGTGGTGAGTTCTATTAAGTATTTTCCTCAGTGCAATAACCAAGCAGAGCATTAATCCCTCTCCTTGTTCTACACCCACAGCACTTGCAGTCCTCACTACCCAGCTGCGTATCCAGTCAGGTACTACTCACTTTTTTGGTCCAACATGTGTAAGTGAGTGTTCTGTCTGTCTCCAAAGTAAGATTATGAGCTCCTGAAGGGCAAAAGGTAGATGTGTGTCTTATGGACAGATACACATACTCATCTCATTCCCTGTGAGTAGATGAGTAGATGAGAAACCAGACTTTGAGTTTTAATGAACAGGAGTTTAAGTATCAGTTTTCCCTCTTATTACTTAGGACTTTGGGCAAATTATTAACCTTCTTAAACTTTTTTTTCCTCATCTGTAAAATGGACATAATAACAGAAGCCATTTACAGAGCAAAGCTTAGCACAGGACCTGGTATGTAGCAGGTGCTCAGTAAATCCTAGCTGTCAGTAACAATTCATTCTTCCAGATGGAAACATCGTCATTGAATCTCCCTTTCTTAATGGCTCCTTCCCTTGGTGAGAGGCATAGTTTACCTCTCTCCATATTATGGTCCCCAGTAGAGGTTGGCTTCAGAATCTCTAACCAACTAAACTCCAGGAGCTCTCAAAGGGAGAGAGGCTGCCCCTGGGGATGGGGAGGAATGCCGGCATTCAGCAGGCTGGGTGGCTGGGGTGTGAGATAACTTGCAATGCTCAGAAGTGCGCCATACAATGAGGAATTTTACCACCCAAACAACAATAGTTCTTCCGTTGAAAAATACAGACTGTTTAGAAAATATTCATAGATGAGAGCAGCAGACAAAACCATTCCAATAAACAGGTCAAAGGGGTGAGTGGTCCCAAATCAGTTATGGGATCTCCGGTACCTCCTTATGTTTTCGGGTGGCTCCGCACAGAAGGGAATCTGATTGGCTGAGGCCAGGGTGTCCTGCAAGGCCGTGATGACCTCCTGCAGCTGGCCCAGGGACAGCCGGCACATCAGGGGAGTCAGGTCGCAGCCCCGCCACTGGAGTTGTTGTTCTTGCTCCTCTATTTCCCTTCTCAGCTGTTGATCTTTGGCTTCCAGCACAGACATCCTTGCTTGGAGAGCTTCGATTTCTGTCTGTAGAGAATGAGGAGACCAGATTTTATAAATTGACCCTGCTCATGGCAAACTGTTCTATGAATAATGACTCATTTAAATGAGAATTGGCCAGATGCACCAGCGGCGCGGAGCTCTCCTTCTGAGGCAGGCAGATTTTTGGAGGTTTGCTGAACTGGAAAAATCATTCCGGCTTTATATTCCTAATGAGTTGGCATAAGGAGAAACATTCCCTCCCAAGCATTAAATAACTCTGGTGGGGGGGTGAGCCAAGAACTTAACTTGGAAGAACCCAGCAAATACAAAATGACTGACTTCAGTTTAGACGGGAGAGTTGGAAGACAGGGCAGCACGCATCGCACACTTGAGATGCAGGCTAAGCCGGTAACATTAGCCACAGACCAAAACAAAAGAGGCAAACAATCCCGGGTGGGTCTGTCCCCAAATATAAGAATTTAGAGTACAGAAAAAGGTGAAAAAAAGAAAAACCTCCTGGCTTCTTACGTCTACAAGATTGAGAGAACAATGAGATGCTGCAGATAGTGCCATGCAGTCTAAAGTTCATAAAAATAGTAAATAAATTTAATTTCCATTAATATAGCAAGCTGAAGTCCAAATAATCCATAAAGTATCATCTAATCTTAAGGTCAACGTATAAAACAAGCAGCAGGTAACTGAACACCATCCTGTGCACAGCGGCATAGGAGGTAATCGTCTCACTGCCCGTGTGATTCTGAATGAAAAATCGGACTCTCTTAACTAACATATTCCCACGTTCCAGGCATCGTTTTTGGCTGATAAGAGCACAGCTCTAATCCTAGGCGTCTGCCCGTCTCTTATCCACGATCTCTCAGCCCCAAAGTGCAGAGCACCTACAACTGCGACCTCCAGAGCCCACTGCCAGTACAGGGTGGGGAGGAGGATGAGGTACTGAACAGGTACCAAGACGCTCTAAGAAAATAATGCCTCATTGCCGCCATTGCTCCCAGAGCACGGTATTACTCACGGGGTCTCTCAGCTGACCTCCCTATTCCTGCTTTTACTTCCTATAGCCTATTCTTTTCTTTTTCTTTTTTTTTTTTTTTTGGTTTTTTTTAACTGTGGTAAAATACAACATAAAATTCACCATCTTAACCACTTTTAAGTGTACAGTTCAGTGGCATTAACTGCATTCACGTTGTTGTGCTGCCATCACCACCGTCCACTCCAGAACTCATTTCCTCTTGCAAAACTGAAACTCCACATCCACTGAACCATAACTCCCCATTCTGTCCCCGCCCTCAGCTCCCAGCAACCACCCTTCTACTTTCTGTCTCTATAAATTTGACTCCTCCAGGAACCTCATATAAATGGAGTCACACAGTATTTCTTCTTTTGTAACAGGCTTATGTCACTTAGCAAGATGTCCTCAAGGATCATCCATGTTGTGGCAGGTGTCAGAATTTCCTTCCTTCTTAAGGTTGAACAGTATTCGATCGTATGCACATACTACACTTTGTTTTTCCATTCATCCATCAGTGGGCATTTGGGCTGTTATCACCTTTTGGCTACTGGGAACATGCTGCTATGAACACAGCAGATATACAAATACCACTCTGAGTCCATGCTTTCAATTTTGGTGGTAAATACCCAGAAGGGGGATGGATGGATCACATGGTGATTCTATTTTTAATTTTTTAAGGAAGCTGCATACTGTTTTCCATAGTGGTCCTATATCCTATTCCTAACAAAAGCGTCAAAGCAATTCTTTACAGTGAGGTCAGATCATGTCACTTCACTGCTTAAAACCCTCCAGTGGCTCCCAATTGCAATAAGAGGGAAGTTCAAGTCCTTATAAGGCCCCTGTACTTCTGACTTCCTCCTGTATGGCCTCACTTATGCTATTTGGGCCACACGGGCCTCCCAGCTTCCGCTGAGCACATGAGACAAACTCCACTGTAGGCCTTCATGTGGCTGTCTCTCTGCCCAGCCTGCTCTCATGAGAAATCTCTGCATGGCCTCCTTCTCCTTTCTCAAGTGTTGACTTCAACTTCACTGCTCAATGAGTAGACTCTATCACCCCATACCCTGGTCTATGCATTGTGGCTTTTACCACCCTACAACGTGCTAGTTATCTACTTTAGGTATTTATTATGTTTATCACTTATTGTCTGTCTTCCATTCCCGCCCCCACTAGGACAGAAGCTCCCCAGGAATCCCAAGCATTTCACACAGTCTGGCAAATAGTGGAGACTCAATAAATATCTGGTGAATAAATGAATATTCAAGCACCTTTCCCCAGAGTGCTTCAAACACAAAGTACCCTGGGCTAAAATTATTTTCTGTACACACTGACATTCTCAGGAATTGTGTAGACCTTTAAGTGGTGAATGTTGTTAAAAACCAAAAACCAGATTTCATATTTTCAGCACTCACTGAATATGTACGTAAATACTCAGTTTACCAGGGAATTATTTCCAAATTACAATGACTTTTGCCTCCCTCTGCTACCTCGCCATTGTAGTGACGTGGGGGGGCAAGCTCAGATAATAACACTCTGCATGGCAGAAGTAACTCGTCCAAGCCCCCATAACTTGTCTAAACTTGTTCAGCTATGTAGAGCCTAAGCCAGGATTTGGACTGGGGCACTGAAGACCCATGCTTTCTATGAAGTCACACTGCCTCTAATCCACACACCCTCACTGCTCCTGTTCCTGCTGCAGGCCTCCAGGCTCAGGCATGCATGGACCCAGTTTCAAGGTCCCCTCCCTCTGGAGAGCTCCTAACTGACCTCTGGCTGGAACTAGGTGCTGCACCCAGATTTCTAGCCCCTGGACGATCCTTGGGCAACTTTCATCCACTGCTCTGGGCCAACCCTGGGTTTCCATGTAGTCTGCTAATCATGCCTTGCCCAGCCCAGACTTAACAACTCTTGTCTCTTAACAACTGCTGCTCACAATGCACCATGATAGGAATTTCCATAAAGGATTTTCACAGCGCAGAGCTCTTTCTGCCTTTAATGGAAGCTTCTAAAGGTCAAAATGATAAGAGGTGACAAATTGGCCTGGCAGACAAGGAACACATATTCAAAAGGTAATGAGGAATATCGAAAACAGGCACAAAACGCTGCTGAGCTTTCAACTCTTGTTTGTAATGAGATTCCTACAAGCCCTCTAGTCATTCCCACTGTCTCTCCTTTTAGTCCTCCCGGCTTGACAGCCAAGGCTCTAATTGCTATACTCAAGCAAAGACCCACTTGGCTGCATTGGACGGAAACGGATAAGAAAAACGTCATCCTATTGAAGATCCTTCACCTGCTCACCTGTAACTGCTGCTTCTCCTGAAGAAGCCAGTCTCGCCTCGTGATGGACACATGCAGGTTGTCCTGAGCAGTGGGTTCCAACGGCCAGGGATCCATTCTGAGCGGGGCTTGGCTGTCATCACTGCCGGCCCTTAAAGTAACACGTACATATATATTAGTACAGGTGCAGAGAAGCTAAAGTCCCTCAGGTCGACAAGTATTTTAAGAGTAAGAAATCTCACCAAGCAGTCCCCAGCCATTCTCATCCTTAGGAGGTATCTACCTATCCTTAGGATGAGGTCCCTTATGTAAGTTTCTGCTTTAATCACAATCTGTTGGGGCTTTTGCTTTTGCCCATAGCCAAATTTCTGTTATTAGACCTGCACTGTACACTACAGTAGCCCTTGGCCACATGTGACATGTGCTTAGCCCAAATTAAAATGTGCCAAAAGTGCAAAACACACACTAGATTTTTTTAAAGTTAGTAGCAACATAGAGAGTGCAAAATAACTCACTAGTAATATTTTTAGTTTCATTACATATTGCAATGATAATATTTTAGATATATTGTGTTGAATTTAATATATTATTAAAATTAATTTCACCTATTTCTTAATTTTTTTCATGTGGCTACTAGATCATTTAAAATCATGCATGTGGCTCACATTATATTTTATTAGACAGCACTGCCTTGGACCATCCAAACGGGGCCAAATTCTAGAGCTGATGGAGAGTCAAAGGAAGTGTGACTGATTTGCAGGTGCTTGGGTCAGAGTTCCTCAGAAAAGATTTGCTAAAGGACTGTTGAAACCACTGGAAACCTGCTTGGCTCCTGCTCTTGCTCCTGCTGTAGGTGACATATTTGGTGACAGCAATGCTGGTAAAAATGTGGGCATAGACTTGAGCCTTATGCTGGTCACCTGCCTTTACAGAAGTCTTGTCTGTGTTTATCATCAAAGAATCACAAACTCATCATTAAAGCATTCAATTCAGTACGGGTGAGCAGGAAAAAAAAGTTTACCCTAAGCAGAACTATGTCAGCAATTTAAGAAGCTAAGAAAACACCAACTAAAACTAAAAGGTAAAAGACAAGTTGAGAAAAAATATTGCCACACACATGCCAGAAAAAGGAATAATATTGCTAATTTAGAAAGATTTCTATTAAATCAAGAAGGAAAACACAAGTGCACCAATCAGAAATTCCAAAAAAGGAATTACAAAGGGTAGAGCGTTGAGGAAAATGTTTATCATCAAAAATGGTTCTAAATGCAAATCCGAAAAACACAAAATGTCACGTTTCACCTAACAAACTGGCAAAGGTTTACACAAACCATAATTCGTTGGTGAGAACAGGGAATAAGAATGAGAATTAAACTTTAGTGTAACTTTGGATCCCACGTTCTCACTTAAGAATCGACTGTATGGAAATACTCGTAGATGTACACAAAGATCAGCTACCAAAATATCCCATTTTCTCTTAGCAGCCCAAACTGACATCACAGTAGCTGTTCCCCCACAGCAGGGTCAGTGCAGTAAACCATGGCACAGCCCCCCGAGGAAGGCTATGCAGCCACCAAAAGTAGGTCACACAAGAAGTATCGGCCTGGCGCGGTGGCTCACACCTGTAATCCTAGCTCTCTGGGAGGCCGAGGCGGGCAGATTGTTTGAGCTCAGGAGTTCGAAACCAGCCTGAGCAAGAGCGAGACCCCGTCTCTACTAAAATTAGAAAGAAATTAATTGGACAACTAAAAATATATAGAAAAAATTAGCCGGGCATGGTGGCACATGCCTGTAGTCCCAGCTACTGGGAGGCTGAGGCAGGAGGATCACTTGAGCCCAGGAGTGTGAGGTTGCTGTGAGCTAGGCTGACGCCACGGCACTCACTCTAGCCCGGGCAAAAGAGTGAGACTCTGTCTCAAAAAAAAAAAAGAAGTATCAGCATGAAAAATGTTCACTGTTTATTGTTATTTTTTCTAAAGCAGGTTTTATGGCAGTATGTATAATATACATAAAAATAATGTATATATAAAATAAAAGACAGAAAAATATCCACCAAAATGCCATCGGCTCTTATCTCTGGGGATGGGATTACTTGTTTCAGTCAGTCTTTTCTGAAGTTTCTATAGTGAGTGAGTACGTCTTATTTTTGTAACTATAATAAAACATGTTTTCCATCACATACACCAAGTAGCTGCATTAGTGATTTAAATATTTTAACACAGCCAACCTGTCCTGTGGCTCTTGGACATGGCTGTGTTTTAAATAAATCCCGTCAATACGTTCATCATCGAAGCCATCTTCCCTTGCAGAGGAGCAGGTATCTGTAGCTTCTGACACTTTGAAGCATAAACTCAGTATCCAAAAAAGGCCAAATTAAACCTTTCCCTCCTCCCGTGCACTCTCCTTACACACAGCTAGATCTTATCTGCCACATCTGTCCTTACTTCGGGGCTCAGGGACAAGCATGCAGCTGCATGTTCTTATTGGTATGTACACATGTGGTCTCACTACCTCTGCATTTCTTAGAAAAGAAAATGATCCTAATACGTGTTGTGCTATGTTCATCTCCTTTCAGTCTTGCCCCATGTCATGCATTCATTCAGAAAAAGAAAAAAATATTACTAAGCCCACCTAGTATGTGCTGGGGACACAACAGTAAACAGAACGTGGTTCTTCCAGGGAGCAGGGAAGACAAATGTATCAACAGAAAAATTACAAGGCAATGTGGAAATGCCTGATCCAAAAAGCAGACCAATTACTGAAGACTTTTTCTTTTTTTTTTTTTTTTGGAGACAGAGTCTTGCTCTGTTGCCCAAGCTAGAGTGAAGTCATGTCATCATAGCTCCCTGCAACCTCAGACTCCTGGGTGCAAGCAATCCTCCTGCCTCAGCCTCCCTAGTAGCTGGGACTACAGGTGCGTACCACCACGCTCAGCTAATTTTTCTATTTTTAGTAGCGACGGTGGGGGGAGGGGAGGGAGAGATGGTCTCACTCTTGCTCAGGCTGGTCTCGAACTCCTGACCTCAAGCAATCCTCCTGCCTTGGCTCCAAAAGTGCTGGGATTACAGGCGTGAGCCACCATGCCTGGTCCCAATTACTGAAGACTTTAAAGGCTGGGATGACTCTCCCACTTCCTGAATCTTAACATGGCACTTACAAAGTAAGTGACCCAGCCAACCTTGCTTCCAGGAAGCAACCCTAATATTTTTAGAAACAATACTACAAAATATGTCACCTCAGCATTTCTAAGATAGAAAACAGTAGCTCCAGAAAAAGGAACCTCACTTTTATTCCTGTGCCTGACACAGATGCAAATTCTCTGAATAATCTTGAAAGTCACTTACTTACTGTAACAGACGATGCGATTTAGAAATGTATTTTCTGTTCCATGTGCTTAAAGGCAAATGACAATAGTAGAAGTAAAAAAAATGTTGAAACTGATACTAATAAAGTAAACTGCTATGAACTGAGAATACATGGTACACCGGACAGTGTCACTTTTATCTCACTCACTTCTCACTGCAGACCTAGGATGAAGGTGTTATTATTACAGTTTTGCTGATGAGGAAACGGAGTCTCAGGGAGGTCAGGTGACTTGCCCATGGTCGCATAGGCACCGTATGCCATAGGTTCTCAGCAAGATCAGCAACTTGTTTCCCAAGCTTCCAGCCATGACCCACGACGCCCCTTGACTGATCCCCTCCCGGCTGTTCAGGGGGCGCTGCGTTGCGGCAGGGAGCGCACAGCCCGTGGAGGCGAAGGCCAGCGTTTGGGCCTTGCTTCTGCCTTTTCCTAGCCAAGTGTCCCTGGACTTACCTAATCTCTCTGAACCTTACCTTAAAATGAGAATGCTGACCATGATAATAAAGAGCATGCCTTCCCTACACAGTCGATTATAGGGATTAAATTTGTTCACCAAATGACCACTGAGCATCTACTGCATGTAGACCCCACCCTCTCGCTGGGACCCTATGGGACTGAGACAGAGCACCTGTGTCCTCAGGGAGTTTCCTCTTGGCATCCCCACTCTTCAACGTTTGCATCGGGAAAATGAACACTGTGCTCATGTCCAGCGGACACACTTCCTCCGCAGGGAAGCAAAGATTAAAGATGAAATATGTCCAAGAAGAGGAAATGTCTGGAACTAAACCATCCCCAGCTACTGGCATCTGTGGGATGGCACGCACTTCCTCCCCTGGGCTCCAGAGTCGCAGCCTGCTTGCAGTCTCCTATTCTCGACTCTGAGCCCAGGGAGCAAAGGGACTGAGCTCATCTCCCAGCGATGTCCCCAGTGCCCTGAACCAAGTAGGGGCCTAGCAAATATTTGTTGTTATGATTTAATGAGTCCATGGCCTAGAAAATCCAGAAGTCGTTTATATTCACTTTTCTATTGCACTAGATCATTTCTTTGCACTAATTTATTTCCCAATTTGCTCTGCTTATGCTAATATTAAGAGTTTCCTGAATTTCCTAAATAGATACCATCTGGGTTGGGATGAGAGTTATTGAAAGAAATCAACACAGAATTGAAAATTAGCTACAGAAGAGCTACAGGTGGGAATTCTCTATATTATCGTTAACCACATTCATTACTTAATCCATAGAAAAGCCCCTGCGATTAACCAAAACTCCTCTGTCTGTCTCTCATATCCTTACTCCAGGAACAGAAAGGGGTCCACAGCCGGCTGAGTGATGGCCCCAGGACACACCGTCACTCAGTAACGAAGCAAGGGACAGGCTTCCGTCTCTCAAATCTTCAGTCCTCTGAGTCATGCTCCCTCTCCCTTCGACAATGTTGTTCCCTTTATATTTAATAATTCTCAATGTGTAATCCCTGATGTCAGTGCAAATTAGCATCGCTGCTATAAACTAATCAGTATGTAAAATGAGCAAATCCCTCAGGGCAAGAATTAAAAACATGCAGGGCAGACCGTTGGAACAGCACTCGTTGCCAACTAGGACTCAAGTGCCTAAGATGCCACTCTCAGGCCCAAGGGTTCGTACAGGTCCCCATCTGGGCCTTCCTGGTACTGGAAAAATCTTGGCCCTTCTACTCTCCTGTCCTTTCTATCAATAATTTAAAGAAGGATAAAACCCATTTGTGAAATAGGAACATACACAACAGGAAAAAATTTAGCTCCTAATTGCACA